CAAGCTGGCGGAGGGAAGGTTTAAGTTGGACATCAGGAGGCGCTACTTCACGGTCAGGGCGGCTAGGGTCTGGAACCAGCTTCCAAGTGAGGTGGTGCAGGCTCCCACCCTGGGGGTTTTTAAGAGGAGGTTGGATGACCACCTTATTGGGGTCATTTGACCCCAGTGCTCTTCCTGCCATGGCAGGGGGTCAGACTAGATGATCTGCTCAGGTCCCTTCCGACCCTAGAAACTATGAAACTATAGCGAAGGAAATTCTGGGGAAGGAGGGGGAATCTGAGTTTGTGCCTCACACCTCTCAAAGTTCCCCTAGAGGCAGGTCTCCTTCTCTGGAAGGCACTTCAGAAGAGGTTGTGGGGGGCAGGTGGCGCAGCTCCTGCTGTTGTTGCGCCTCTGCCTGGTGAAGAGGGGGATAAAGCAGGATCCCCACCCTCAACCCAGAAGTGGGGGGTTGTGTAGTGTGGGATCATTTTGAGGTGGCAGATGATTCAAGGTATGCTACCTGCCAGCGCTTCCAAAGGCAGATCAGCCAGGGTAAGGACATGAAACACTTCGCCACCACAACAATGCTGCTGCATCTCAGGAGGCAGCACCCCCTTGCCCTTGATCCTCCTCAGCCTGGCACCAGTGAGAGTGTGCCCAAAAAGAACCAGAGGCAGGCCACTCTGGAGCAGTGGGGGAAAGGTGGAGACAAAGCAGGGCGCGTTCTAAAGGTGAGCAAGGTCACCCCTTCTCCTTAGTTGAGTGGCCAGGGTTCAGGTGGCTCATGGCACTCATGGCCCCATTGTACCAAGTGCCCGCATGCACCACCTTCAGCAGGACAGTGGTGCCCTCCCTGTATGAGGCATGCAGGGAGTACTTGAGGGAGGAGCTGCAGAAGGCAGGTTTGCAGGTAGCCTTGCACTTCACCTTGGACATCTGGAGCATCTGGGGTAGAGATCATGCCTACCTCTCCCTAATAGGGCACTGATGTGATCAGTCAGAGCACTGGTAGGCTTTCCTTCAAGTGGAGGTGATGGATGAGTTCCACATGGCGAGGGAGATCATTGTGGCCATGAACTGCATGGTGCAGGGGTGGTGTGTTGGGCAGGGCAAGCTCACCCATGGGTTCATGGTCACAGACAACAGGGCCAATATGGTCAAGGCAGTGCATGATGCCAACTTTGTTGGCATCTGCTGTGTGGCACACAAGTTCCACGTCATAGTCAGGGATGCCCTGGAGGGCGACAGGGCTCCCAGTAATGGTGCCATCACTACAAGCCAGCTCATTTCAAAATGCAGGAAGGTGGCAGGCTACTTCCATTGGAGCATCAAAGTAGGCAAGATGCTGCGGGACAAAGAGGCAGAGCTGAGCATCCTGCAGCACAGAATCATGCAGGATGTGGAGACTTGGTGGAACTCCACATACCTGATGCTGGAAAGGCTGGTCAAGCAACAGAAGGCCATCCTTGAGATGGCCTTGGTCGGGAAGATTGGGATCAATGGGCCCCTTAAAAAACGCAGTGAGATACCAACTCTCAGATCTTGGTGATCCTCAAGCCATTCCTTGAGGTCAATGAGACCCTCAACGCTGGCGATGCCCTCAGCACTGGCGATGCCCTTCTTAGCCAGGTGATCCATGTAGTGAAGGAGCTTGAGAACGAAATGGAGAAGTTCCAGGGGATCGATATTCCTGGCTGAGGCAATCTGCTTTCACCAGAGGTGCAGGCACTGGGAAAGCAGCTGAAGGAGGGCATCAAAAAATGGCTGGATCTGTTGTGGTCCAGTACAGTCCAAGTGCTCAGGGGCCGCAGAATGCCTTTTTGGTTGGGGGTGGGGGGGAGAGGGCAAAAAAAAACAAACAACCAACCCCCGCCCCCCTAGCTCTCACCACTGATTTCTTACTTTATGTTTACACTTAATGTCGTTCTTTCTTACATACTTTCTTCATGTAATACATATAGAAAATAATTGATTATTATTAACATACAATGCTAATCGTGAAATTATTAAGTTACAAAAATCACACTGCGTGCAGTAGTACAGGAAAAGTAACTGAAAAACATCAAGTTATAACACTCACCAATATTTATCAGCTCCTTGCTTGTGAATATGGAAGTGCCATTTTATTGTCCACGTGTGTCAAAATTTGCAAAGAACGTCCTTCTGCAATCGTTGCGGTTTGCAAACTCAGCTGCAATTGCGGTAATGTCTGTCTGTGGAAGGGTCTCCTTGTGACGGCAGGTACACATTAAGTCATTCAATCTCATCTGAGTCATTGTAGATCGCAGGTAATTTTTAACACAACAAAGTGCGGAAAAGCATCTCTGTACTGTTCCTGTAGTCACAGGTATTGATCTGTGTCATTACAGTACAGAGAACACTGTAGTTATCTATGATGGATTTCAGTGCACTGGTGCAGATAGTCTATCATGTCAGACAGAGGGTGCGCAGGTTTTGATTCTCCAGGGTTAATTCTTTCTTTAAAGACTCAAACAAATGGTTTCACTTTGGGGATTGCTTGATGAGATGGGTCACCTCTAACACCAAGTCCAATGCATCCCGAATTTCTTTACAGTTTTCCCCCGCATCTTGCAGGGACAGATTTATGCAGTGCATCCTGCAATGAATATGAATGTCTGCAGAATTATTTTGCTTAAATTGAGCAGCAACACCACATTTGTGACTGGACATATTAGCGGCACCATCATGTGCCTGCCCCCTGCATAGACCCAGGAGCATGTTGCAGTGTATCAAAATGTCGTATAGCACACTGTAGATGATAGAGAAGTTGGTTTTAGGTACATCAACAAGGCCAATGAAATCTTCCTGTATTGTGTAATTTTTGTCTACCCAGTGAAATAAAGTGACCAGTTGTTCTTTGTTTGCAATATCCCTTGTTTCATCCACAAGAATAGAGTAAAATCCCACCTCATACATCTTTGAAAGCAGTCTCTGTAAGATGTCCATTGCAGAGATGAATTCATTCACTGATTACATCATGGGGCATGTATTTTTTCTCAGAAAGCCAGTGGCTAAGATCAGGACAATCCTCAGTGTGAAGTTGCATGAGCTGATATAGATTGCCACTTTCAGAATCGTGACCCTCTATTGCCAGTCCTTGTTCCATTAGGAAATGAAGGGATGTTAGCTATTTAATTAGCATTTTTCAGTTACATTTTGGTTGAGCTTTGAGTTGCGAGTCAAGCTGAGTAACAGTGCTTGGTAGATATGACATATACCTGTATGTTTCTATTTGAGCCGTGGCTTCCCGGTGACATTTTGTTTTTTCATGCTTTTGGAAGCATTTGGCAGCATGTTGCAAATTCTGAAAATCACTAACAGCAAATGTACCCTCATTTTTTTGGGTCAGGTTTAGGCCTTTGACTATACAGAAACAGCACTGTGTTGCAGAATAGTTTGTCCCGTGTTTCACACAAATGTAGCCAATTAACATCTTTGAACCAATTCAATTGAACTGATCAAATTCACTGTGATGATCCAGTTCCCTGTACCTTTTTAGTGCCCTCCAGCACTGTGGGGTTATCTGGTTGACAAGGCCTAGCAAAATCCATGCAGAATTTGCTAGAGCAGTGGGTGGCAGCAGCACAAACCGAAGAGGTAGACACAAAAGGTTCAACCTCATTATGGAGGTCTGTCTTTTCTTAAGTTGATTCTGGTAGTGATGCCAGTGGTGCTTGTGCTGTATCTTCATCTCTTTTGTTTTGTTTGCTTTTGAAAAAGTTTGTAATGGGTTTATTTCATTTCATTTTTTCCCCTGATGTCCTGAATGAGTTTTTGCAACATTAGCTGAGACATACACACAGGCAATTTACATAATGACATGTGTCGGTTAGAAACAGCACATCAGGCACAAACAAAGCTGTAGCAAAACCCCCAGTTTTTCTTTTTTTTATTTTAAAATGCATTCCCTCCCCTTCCCCAACCATGTCTGACCTCTCTATTCCCTATAGATAAGAATAAGTAAGCTAAGATGTAGGATAAGCTTTAACATTTTATTTTAGGTAGTAAGTTTTATTTTTCTCTCCCCTCTGCAAATAAGTACCCTGCTGTTTTGATATAGATACCCACTGTTTTATAAGTGATAAGTATTATGTTTGTATTGATTTTTTTTACTGCTTTTATATTGTGTGATTACTGTTTTAGGCCTACATATGTAAGTTAGCACATGGTCATGTCAAGTTTCCGTCTTGTAATGTCAAGCCTCCATCTTGTGTCCCCTGCCCTATGACTCATACCTACCCCTCCTATGTAACTTGGCTTGTGAATGAATGGGAATGAATGTGGGTGCTTGAGAGACAATGGCAGTAGGTCTAAAAATAGCTCCCTCTGAATGACCGAACCATCAACACCAAGGACCCAGCCATTGGAACCACCCTCAGCATTCAAGAAACAAAAGATGAGGCAACCCACCATTGTGCCAAGGCTGCACATGCTCAGTAAGAACACCTGAAGCCCTCTGGAACAGGACTGACCTTGCCTGGACAGGCCCTCCCATAGGAGATCAGAGGTAGTCTGACCCATAAAAAGGGGTAGTGAAGACTGACTCTTTGGGATGCCCTCTCCATCTGGACCAGCACCATGCCACACCACCTATCCACCCAGAAGCTCTGCCAGCAACTCCCCTCTGGACAACACCTGCTGGACAAAGACCCCTTTCCAGCCTGGATATCACCCTCACCCTCTCTTCAACCAAGGACTTGGACTCTGTTTCTCTTCCCTACCTGGACTCCAAACCTTCCACTGAGTCTCTTTTTCCTGCTCCCATTGTGAGTGCTTGTGTGTGTGTGTGTGTGTGTGTGTGTGTGAACCAATAACTTCATGGGGCTGTGTAGTGTATTGTCTGTTTAATAAAACTGTTACTTGGACCCCTGAGTTGGGTTTGCTTTACTACAGTGTGGCCCTGCTCCAATCTCTGTTCCTCGCCTCTCTAACTTCTGTCTCATTTCTCCCTCTCCTGCTTCTGGCTCACTACCACCTTCAACACCTGTCCTAAGCTCCTTTCCGCCTGCAAACCCCCTGTTTCTTTGCCACTGTCATATCCCCACTGCCTTTTCCCCTGAGCTCCCAGGTTTCTGCCTCAGTTTCTTTCCTGGCTGTCTCCTCCTTGCCACCACTTACATGTCCCCCCCTCCACAATCCCTCAGCTGTCTGCCTCAGTTTCCAGCCCCAAGCTCCCAGGTTTTTGTCTCTCTCTCTTTCCTGGCTGTCTCCTCCTTGCCACTGGGCTTTTCCCCTTGCACCAGTAATCTCAAATAACCCTGGGGTCACTTGACCTTAAGTAACCCTAAGCCTCAGTCCCTCAGCCAGCTTCTCTCTAGCCCACTGGTTCTAATCCTGGTTATGGCAACTTTCACTCCCTATACTTTAACACTCTCTCTCTCTCACCTTAACTTTCCCCCAAGTATCCCACGTACCCCAAGCACACACATATATACTGTACCATCCAAGTTAGGAACTTATCTGTGTGTATGTGTAGGTGGGCTGTATGTGTGTGAACTGGTGTGTATGTGTGTATATATATGCCATTGTGTGCATGACATGAATTCGTGATCTATGTATGTGTACTGAGTGTGTGGGTATGGACAATTGATTTTTGTCTAACTTTTGGGGTGTATAGTGTATGTGCTTGAATTGGTGATAGGTATGCATGTGCCTAGGCTGGCTTGGATGTGTATGTGCCTGAGTTAGTAGTGTGTGTGTGTGTGTATGCACCTGATTGATTTGTGTGTTTGTATATGTGCAATTGTGTCACACCCTCCTGTCTAACAGCATAATATTGAGTTCCTGAGAGTTGGCCTGACCCCACAGGGCAACAAAGTGGAAGTATAGCTTGCTATTTAGCTAGCTATGCAGTTTAAAAAATAGCTATACAGTTTTAACAGGAAAGACACTTGCGCATTTGTGCGTTATATAAGTGAATGTACTAAAAGTTGGTCGGGCCATGGCCCAGGTGGCCCACCCCATTCCGCAGCCTATGCATGTGCTGACGGCATGTGCAACCCGAGGGTGAAGGGGAGCATCTGCAGCAGTAAAACCCTTGATCACTGAACGGTGGGGCTGGTGAACAGTCAGGGAGGCTGAGGCAGGGGGACATGGAAGAGGAGGATCCACTTTCCCATGTCAGCACTCCAACCACGAGGCAATCTCCTCCACCATAGCCGCTGCCAATGTGGGCCAAGGGCATGGCTTCAATGTTGGGGTCCAGAGGCACCAGACCCCACCATCAGGCAGGTATCACAGAGGTCTCAGTGGCTACCTATCTCACCAAAGACGTGGAGCTGCTGCACTGCAACCCCTTGGCCTACTGGGCAACCCACAGCTAGGTGTGGCAGGATCTGGCCACGGTTGCCTGGGAACACCTGTCCTGTCCACCGACCAGTGTTCCAAGCAAGTGGGTGTTCAGCATTGCTGGGGATATAGTGACACCCCACTGCACCTCTTTGGCTCCTGGTTTGATGGAGCAGCTGGTGTTCCTGAAGGTGAACCTCTCACCGCTGGGGTTCCCCAAGCTCCACCTGCAGACAGAGTGAGTGCCACCTCCTCACTTCACACCTATTTGCTTTTTTTTTATTTGCTTTCAGAGCCTTGAAATGAACTTTCACAGAAACCCCTGCACCACTCTGCCTGAAACCTGGCAGGACTCAAGCCCCCATGAGGGGCTACCATGCCTGCTGTTTTCATCCTGCTCTGCCTTAACACACAAAAGTGATATGAGTTTTGCTTTCAACAGTTTGAGGGGCACTTTCACAGACACCCCTACACCTATCTCCTTGAAACTTGGTAGGCTTCATGCCCTCAGAAGGGGCTACCATCCCTAATGTTTTCATCCAAATCTGCACAAAAATTGCAAAGTTATAGGTATTTTAGTGATTCCCCATTATAGTCTATGGCCGAATCTCTGAATTCAAATCAGCTGAATCAAATTGGGACAGCGATTAGAATCACCAAATCAAATCACTGTCCCTCCAAATTGGCCGAATCCGAAGCTAATACTTGGTGCTTCACACAGGCCTAGCAAAGAACAAGCATGGAAAATTTCAGCAGAAAAGGTGAATGTTGACGTGACAGAGCCTATTAGAGCCTTGACTATGCTAGATCTTCCAATAGTACAGCTGAACCAGCAACACCAGTCTTTCTTCTTTTTTTTATTTGTTAGCTCTTTTAGTCACTGATTCTTCTGGCCTTGAAGATGTTGGCTTAGTTATTATAATTTCAGGCAGAATCCTGATTGCTATGAACACAGAGGTCTACTATGAAGGAATTATCACCCTTCGCTTATGACACATCCATTCTAACCTTCCTTACTACATTTATGATTCCATTTGCTATTTTAGACAGAACAATCTGGTTCCTGTTTTTCCTGAACAATTTAGAAAGTTCTTTACAACACACACCTAGCTTTACATCTCATTTTTGAATAAGCATTCACTCCCCCTGTGTTCCTTGCTAAATTATCATATGCTCTTTCCATATGTCTGCTTGTTAATAGCCTCAACAGGAAGTGACAGCCTGTAGTAAGCTTGCTCTTAAAAAGAGAAAGCTTATTTTAATTTTAATTCCCTTTTATCATTATGTTCTAGGTTTTAATTATACCTTATACTTTAAAGGCAAGCAAACACAGATACAAGCAGAAAGTCTTAAACTGAGACAGAATGGATTTAGTTTGTTCTTAAATTAGAATTCCCTAACAGTTTCCCAAATGCATGTCCCAGTATAAAAAAAAAAAAAAATCACTGTGCATACATGTAAAGGTTGACTTAAACTTTCTTAATCCTACAACTACTGAAACAGTTTCCTTTGACGGGTAATAAAACACTGGAACAGGCTACCCACGGAAATTGTGGAATCTCCATCCTTAGTAGTTTTTAAGACCCAGGTAGACAAAGCCTTGGGGAAGGTCCTGCTTTGAGCAGGGGATTGGACTAGAAGATGACCTCCTGAAGTCCCTTCCAACCCTAATTTTCTATGATTCAATAATTAATTTGTTTTTTTTAAGACTCAAAAGGTCTACAACCTAACCATCTTTAAAATTTCTACTTTTACTTTCTTGATATTTGGTGTGTAAATAATTTTATAAAATATTAGAACAAAAGTGATTTTGTTTCTTTCACAATTGAATAAGTAAAAACTATTAAAGCAGTTTTCCCAAATCCTTAAACTAAGTTTCGTCTTTATGTTGAGACTGAGCATAGAAATTTTCAACCCCAAAGGCACCTGAGTCACACTTTGTACAAAGGTACTGTTTATAAATGGTTTCTAAATTATGTGTGTGTTTAAAAACCCAGTTAATCAGTTATTAAAGATATCTTAAAAAGTAGATTAGATCAGAAGATTGTTTATCACATCTATAACATACATATTATTGTGGGCTTTCTTTGTCTGCCTTTGTGGCATAAGGCATGGCCCTTTTCCTGCGGGTCTTCTGAGAGCATATTAGCTACCTACTTCTCTGTTCTTGCAGTGGTAGAGAGTTGGAGGTGCCCTTACTTCTGCTGCTTTTACCTGTGGCATGTTATCAGGTGTTCTTAGCATTCCAGGTATTATTCCTTGCATTCATGAGTGAGGGTTCAAAATGGTGATTTTTTGGGGGATTCCTTTGGTTAATGATAACCTACAAATAAAGAGGACTAGATGACCGAAGAGGTCCTTCCCAGCTCTGTATTCCTATATCTTCAATATGCTTATAATATGGTCATTTACAAACTATTCAATTTTATGAGAAATGCAACCAGCCTCTGTTTGAGCAACTGAAAAAGGAACTTTAGAATAGAAGCTGAAACTCAGTTTTCCCCAAAATAGATGTTTGGTCCACCCTGTATAATTATTTACATGATTTAACAAAAATTCTTACATTATTTAAATAATAAAGATAATGCTATATATCTAAGCTACAAAGCTGTATCTGGCATCACTGGATGTTGTATGCATAACAAGGAACTCCTGCAGAAGTATCTGGAAACAGTTAAAAAGAGAGGAGGTTTAACTGATACTGTCCTGGCAGCATCCCATTTACTTCAGAGTTTGTAATGTTGTTGTCACTGATGAAAATGGACCACAGTATGAAAACCATTAGCAAACTTCCTAGTAGCTAAAGTATGAGACCACTAATAAAGGGCTGTAGGAACAGGTCTTTTCTGATGGAATATTGGTGCACATGCATCTATTGTGCTTTCCCTGTCATGTGGGGAGTACCTAAGGATGGGTAGCTCTTACTGTTAAAGATAGTCAAGAGCATGCTAATCTTTTCCTTGCTCTTTTGTGACTGCAGCTTTAGAGAGAGAGATTTATGTTCTGTGTGAAGCATGCCTTTTCCTCAAATACATGAAACAACCTTTTGATCACAAACTACTGCCAATAACTCTATTTTCTGGAATCATGTTTTTTTAACAAACACGTAATGGTGAAAGTTTCATTGTTCCCCTCTGCTGCAAGGGGAACAAACACATGCATGTTTGGGTTTAATGATTATAAAAATCCTGATACATTCTAATACTAATCCAGCAACTCTAGGAAAAATGCCTCTCTCAACAAAAGCCATGTACAAGCATTACTGCAGGGAGGGTGTGTCTACATGTGCAATTAGTACTATATGGGTTTACTGTGCAGTAATTTACTGTACATTAAACCCGCCCTGGGCAAGCATCTACACACGCAGCCATTTGGGAGCAGATTTGCTCCTCATGGCACTAGCCTGCTCCTGCCCCCACTGGCCCTGCGCCACCCCCCTGAAACAGCCAGAGGGAGCTGGAAGCTCCAGCCACAGCTGCCTGGGGCCAGAAGCTCTCTTTAAAAGCCAGCCTGGCACAGCGCTCCGTGGCCACCTGTGTTTCTGGCCTGTAGCAATGTGTAGCGTGGTGTCATAGCCCTCTGGCACAGCCCTCACCAGAGCCCGTTCCCACCATGCAATGGCTGCTCCACCCCCAGGCCCTGGGTATGATGATGACCCATGCCCTGGGCTTCTGCTTGCCCCCCTGCATACCACGCTTTGCCATCACGGTGACTGCCACCTGACGTAGGTCAGTCTTAGCCCTGCCTGTCTCCCTATGCTGTATGGCAGAGTGGCCAGGCTCACTGAGCCGTCTGAGGCCCCCTGCCCCTGTGGTGACACTGCTCAACCCCTGGGCTGCCACCCAGACCCCAGCAGGAGGGATGTGAATACTGCCACCAGTGCATCCGCTGCCTCTGGGCCCTGCCAGCCAGCCAAGACTGGTGGCTGCACATTGTCCAGTGCACCTGGGACAAACAGCAGTGACTGGAGTCCTTTCAGAGTAACCAGGCCACATTCCAGGAGCTTCTTGATCAGCTCTGCCCACACCTGGAGTGACAGGCCACCACCATGTGGCTGCCTCTCCCTGTGAAGACCCGGCTGGCCATCTTCCTGCACAAGCCAGCCATGCCCAATAGTCTGCACTATATTGGCCATCTGTTTGGCATGGGCAAGGTGACCACTGGGGAGGCTGTCCTGGAGGTCTGCAGTGCTCTCCAGGACATGCTGCGGCATACCATGCTCCGGGTCCATGACCCCTTAGAGGTGGTGGTGTGGTTCTGAACCCTGGGCTTCCCCCAGTGCATCAGGGCCCTGTCACCTGCCCACCCTGCAGTGACCACCCCTACTACAGCCAGGAGGGCTTCCATTCCATTGTGCTACAGGCCATCGTCAACCACCAGGGCACTTTCACCAATGAGAGCTCCAGCCCTGGTGGAGAACAAACACTTCACACCAGGGGTGCTGGACCTTCAGCTGGACACGGTTACAGTCTCGCTGCTCCTCATTGGGGATCCTGCCTACCTGCTCCTCCCCTGGCTCATTTGGCCAGCTGGACCCCCGCCAGGCACATTTCAATAGGTTTCTGAGCCAGAATCACACACTGGTGGAGTGTGCCTTCAGCCACCTGAAGGGACCCTGGCACACCCTCACTGTCCACCTTGAGGTCATGGAGGTCAAGATCCTCCAGGTCACTGTTGCAGCCTGTGTGCTGTATAACAACTGTGAGGCCTGGGAGGAGTTCTTTTGCAAGGTGTGGGTGGAGAAGGCACAGAGGGCGGAGGACATGTGACACTTGGAATGCCAGCTGCGGTGGCAGTGACAGCGATGGCTCCCCCTTTCCCCCACCAAGGCCCCGGGCAAACCATTCACAATTTCCACTGCCAGATGCTCATAAATTTCACTTCCAGCCCACAGCAGATCCCTGCCCTGCATGCATCCTGCAGCTTCCAGTCCAGGAG